ATTAGTACTCAAGTTGCTTAAATGGTTGCTTAAATGTTTTATAGAAGGAAAAATAAATAGGAAAGTATTTTTATGTAACTAGTAGAAATTTATCTTTTTTTTTCCTTTCATTTGCTTGTAGGCAAGAGAATCACCGATTAACTTGGCTAAAGAGTTTGTTATGAAATGGATAAAAGTCCGACAATTATTTGAAGACATTTTTATGTTTATACATTCTTTTTATAGATACACATATTTAAGTAAATGCTCTGTTTATAATAAAAAGTATTAAACAACATTTACCTGCCTGAATGTTTCATAGAAAATATTCCTCCTCCAACAGAAATTGAACCTGTATCCTATACAGAACCGTCAATAGCCCGACGTGCTGAGCCACGATTGAGCCACAGAGGATCGTTCGGTTAGCAAGGTCGATTTTACTGCTTTTAAACTTCAATCTTCCATGAATCTCTCACGTACATTCATATCTGCTCAACGCGTATCCACATGTAAACAAATGGTGTCACTCATTATTTTACTTAAATATTTGTATCTATAAAAAGAATGTATAAACATAAAAATATCTTAAAATAATTTTAGGACATTGTCCATTTCAAAATCATGGCAGGACAGGACGTGGAAGGAACACTAAGGGGAAAACGTGGAAAGCCATGATCGTCATTATCCTGAAGAGACCACGAATTGGATTTCAGTCCGGTGTTCATTTTTCTCTAAATAGCAATAAATGGAATATTTTAGTGCTGTTCAAAATTCTGAATGAATCCGACAGAGATTTTGTAATATACAGTTGTTTATTCGAAATATTTGACAAGGGAAAATACTTTCAATATCCCAATATGGCATTTTGTCTCTTGTGTCTTTTAGTGTTTATTACCATTCTGCTTGTTATCAGTATTATGATTTGAAAATAATAAAAGTCTTTCTTAAAGATGGAATAGTAGCTTCACTGACACGCCATTGAACTGACAAAGCAACAAAAATGATGTGAAATAGATAAATCGTCTATTAAATAATGTATCTGTCATATCTGTCAATAAGCAACTTACGATTTTGACCAACACTTTGGGTTACTTAATTTCTTTGCAACTATTAGTTGCTTAAATGTTTGTTTAAATATTTTATGCTAGCGTCTAATAAATAGAAGAAAAAACAGTTTTATGTAAATAGTAGAATTCATGAAAACAATATAAAATAACGAATTTAGTAACTCTTTTGTTTAATTTTACGTTTTTTCTTTTTTAAGGGTGTTACCCAGTCCACACTAAGGTAACCTGTGAAATTGTTTATCTAATTAAATTTGAGTAGAATTGTGCTAGAAACGAGTTGCTTATTTAAAAAAAAAAAAAAAAAAAAAAAAACGTTTGCCGTCTTTTCAACTTCGTTTCAAACGTATCGAATAATAAATCACTATGTAAAATAAATATAATTCACCTTTAGAGAAAATATTTTATCAAACATAAATTAACAAATTATATTTTATTATGCCTGTTGATTCCTTGGGAACCGTAGGGCCGAAACAACACCTCACGAACAGATGCGGTTCCAAACGATCCTCTTTAGCTCGGCCCATATCGTGCTGGTTGCCTTCACCTCTGCGTCAACATTTCTGTACCAAGTCTGTTTTGGTCGACCTACTTTTCGCTTCCCTTTTGGATAACAAATCATTTGGTCATTTTGAATTTACTATGATCCGGCAAGAGGGGCTGCCCTCACCACAAAGCCAACAAAAGCTGTCGATTAATATAGTACTTGATTATTTGACTTAGTGATTTGAACAAAGAACCAAAGGCAATAAAGTCTTTAATAATAATAATAATAATAATAAGAAGAAGAAGAAGAAGAAGAAGAAGAAGAAGAAAAAAGAAGATTGTTATTAAAGACCGCAAACAAAAAAAAAGTGCCTCCTTATTGATATGGCAATCCCTGCAGACTGCAATGTATTTTTGAAGATATTCAAAAAGCTATCAAAATACAAGGACCTTGAAATAGAAATCTCAAAAATGTGGCACATGCGAACATCAACAATCCCTTTTGGAGTTGGAGCCCTAGGATTGGTTGGAAAAGATTCCAGTAGACTAATTGAAGGGATTCCTGAAAGTCCATGCCTCAAAGCGATACAAAAAATTGTTCTCACAAGTACAGCCCACACTTTACGAAGGGCTTTATCTATGTAATTTTTTTTTTTTGTTGTCAGTGGAAAGTGTCATGATGCCATTTCTAACCGTAGGTCTCTGGGCGGAACCCGGAAAGAAATGTGTAAACGCCAGAAATCAAAGGAAATAAAAATAATAATTATGTGGCATATGAGAACATCAACAATCCCTGTTATAGTTGTAGGCCTCGGACTGGTTAGAAAAGATTCCAATAGACTCAATGACGGGATCCCTGGTAGCCCATGCCTTAAAGAAATACAAAAAACAGTTCTTATGAGTACAGATGTTAACACATACTTGTTATTTCGTAGTAAATAAAGATGGGTCGTAGTAAATATTCCATCCAGTACTACACAATTTGCTCGTTATTTGCCTGGTGTTAGCCATCTGTGTATGTCCAATGAGGGTTGATGCATTTGTTCATGAGCGGGAGTAACGGAAGAGCATTATAGCCGAATGAGGTTTTTTTTTCTCCCCGTCAAGTTTGAAGTATACGGCAGCTAGGTTCGGTGTTAGGGTTAGAGATGAAGAAACACCCTCAGTTGGAAACCGATTCATCCCCACTGCAAGATTATGCGCTGCTTTTAACAAAACATATCAACATATCAGGTACATTTGGCTGTGATGCGTGTACCTGATATATAGCCTTATCAAACTGGGTATCATGATAGGTACATTGCGCATTCTTATATTTGTATCACAGCATCATTTTGCAACCATTTCATTCAATAATTACTTGTTTATTTGATTAAGTGCAGAGGGTGGGATAAAACGTCTTGCATTGCAATGGAACGTTTTCTTAGCTCCCTTTATATTTTCAATTGTTTCCGATTCATTTTTCGCCATTATACTTTTACGGTGTTAATTATTAAAATTTATTCAGCTAACTATGAAGCTTTATTAATTAAATACAAAAAAAGTAATCAGTGGACCATAAAACTTACATTTGATTTAATATCTAATTCTCTCTTGGCTAAAATTCTTCTGTTTCGATTTGAAATTCATCCTTTGGGTGCGAAGAGTTTCCGATATAAAATTAATGGTTGAAACAGGGGATTAGAGATGAAAGGTTTATTTTTTTTAAATTCCTTTATTCAAATCCATTGCTAAAAATACTGAAAGAAATGATCGGTTCCTTTTATCACGTCAGGAAATACGTAACACTTTCTACCCTACACTTAATGCATATAAGTGTCAGATTGACTCATTGCTGCATATATCTATCTATCCTAGAGTTGATCAATCCTCAATTTCAAGCCTAGATAGAGTACAAAACTTTATGTGGACTTTTGTTATCATTTCACTACAAGCAAGGCAATAAAGCCACTAAGACGCAGTTGTTACTGAGTGTGAAAGAATACGAGAAAAAGAAAAGCATTATTACGGAGCTAAAACAACAATAAAACTGAAAAGATGTAGAATAACGATAGATATTGCATTTAAATTTTTCAATGGCAATGGTAACGCTGAGGAGAGCCGTTTCCATACAGGAAACCTTTAACATTCAATCCCTAAACAGCATTATTAGCGGGTGAAAAACTTCCTCTTAAAATAGTTTTGCTAGAAAGTAGACTTCTCAGGTCCATTGTTATTGCTCTTTCCAGTATTGATGGGAGTTTCCTTTTTAACCTTTTGTTTAAGGTAATGTGGAAAGCCAACATATTGATTATATTATTATTTACGCTTCTATTTATCCATTTAATTGTTGCTCCTGTTGGAAATTTTCAAAATGTGTTTTTATTATTTGGTAAAATCCATTTTTGTGATTCTGTTGCATCCGTCCATTTTGTCTGCTGAAGTATTCTTTTCTTGAAGGTCCATACGATTCATCCGCTTGAAGCCATTTATAATCACGCCAGAGGAAATGCATTTTATCTTGATATATTCAAAGCTTTTCAGTCAATATTCATTAATCCAGGAATACAACGCTAATTCAGTCATAAGATACGAATTAATTGAACCGATGTCAGTATTTTCAAGACAGACTTTTTAATCATTCCAACCTTCAGGAGAATAACTCTTTGCGTCTTCATAGGCTCATGTTTTCCACTAACATCCAGTAGAATGATTATATTGAATCGACCGTTACGTCTGTTAGTTCACTGTGTCGTACCAGGCAAATTTTATCGTCAGAATTCATCTTGCATATTTATGCATCAAGCATTTGTCCGTGCATGTAACACTGCACTCCTAATTCGTCTCCCGCTCGTTATTCATTCTTGACAAAATCCATCCCAAAAGAGTTTCTAATATTAACGGCCCTTAGCCTGTATTCTTGATTTCAATCACATTCTCACTTCAGTGAAGTGACTTCCCTGTACCTTTTCTATAAACATTGTCATGGCAGTTGCTGTCATGATGTCTCCTACTTGATGCCTCGATTGTATTAATTTCAGCGTACGATTAGATTGGTAACAAGGTCTTCTCGTTTTGCTGCTGAACTTACTTGATATAACCATAAGCTTTATTCTAGATTAATTTTTTTACGGCTTATCAACCCTTTGCAGATAATTTAAAACCAGAAAATATTTTTTTTAGATAATGATTTACTGATACAAGTCCTACTAATTGACCCATACCTGGAGGTACATTCATACTTTTCCTAAGGATATTTATGTATAAGTGAATAAAATGAACCCAACTGGAATGTGAACTCGGCACTCCGATTTACAATCCTGAGTCGTTATCCATTTAAACCGCAAATCCAAGCTTATAGCAAATGGTATTCTGAAGCAGTCAACCATTTAGGTACTGATCAGGCTAGACGTTGCTTAACTTTGCTGATAGTACAAAAACCAGTGTTTCAACTTGATATGGCCGTAAGCCTTACAATCTGCACATAAAACCTTACAGTACCTGGTATTCCCAAGCGGTTACTTATCTAAGTACTGACCAAGCTCGACGTTGCTTAACTTCGCTGATCATACGAGAACAGGTGTTTCAATGTGATATGGCCTTAAGACATACAACTCTCACATCTATGCTTAAAGCACCTGGTATTCCCAAGCGGTCACCCATCTAGGCACTGACCAGAATCGACGTTGCTTAACTTCGCTCATCGTACCAATGTTTCAATGTCATATGACCTTAAGACATACAACCCGCACATCCAAGCTTACATCACCTGGTATTTCCAAGCGGTCACCCATCTAGGTACTGACCAGGATAGACATTGCTTAACTTCGCTGATCGTACAAGAACCAATGTTTCAATGTCATATTCCCTTAAGACATACAATCCGCACATCCAGGCTTACATCACCTGGTATTCTAAAGCGGTCACCCATCTAGGTACTGACCAGGCTCGACGTGGCTTACCATCGCTGATTGTACGAGAACCAATGTTTCAATGTCATATGCCTTTAACACATACAACCCACACATCCAAGCTTACATCACCTGGCATTCCCAAGCGGTCACCCATCTAGGTACTGACCAGGCTCGACGTTGCTTATCTTCGCTGATCGTACGGGAACCGGTGTTTCAATGTCTTAAGATATACAACCTGCACATCCAAGCTTACATCACCTGGTATTCCCAAGCGGTCACCCATCTAGTTACTGACCAGATTCGACGTGGTTTAACTTCGCTGATCGTACGAGAACCGGCGGTTCAATGTGATATGGCCTTAAGACATACAACCCGCAATTCCCAAGCGGTCACCCATCTAGTTACTGACCAAGCTCGGACTATTCTAATACTTTTTTCTCGTCTATGGAACTCCCTTCCGATTTCTTGCTTCCCTCTCAACTACAATCTTCAAAATTTAAATACGACGCCAAATCTTCTTGAAACCTGCAATATTATTGTCCTTTCTCCTCACTAAAGTATTCTCTTTTATTCCTAATAACCCGTTGTGTCTTAGTAGCTTTATTGCATTCCTTGGTGTGAAATGATTAAAAAATGCAACAAAAGTTATTACTATTTGATACAATTTTTGCTTCTATTTTTCTATTCCTTTTCTTCGGTTCGCCATTAACTGTATCAATGTCTCATCTTTAATCTCGTCCGCGTTGTTTCGGTGACGATTTTAGGAGTAAGAAACATTAGAAATTCCAGGAACGATAAAGGGAAAGAGGTGTTGAGAAATCTGCGATATTTTGCTAAAAAAAAAAAATTATCAGTAACCCCGATGAATCCATTCTGTATTTAAGCTTACGTAATTATCTTCTTCTGGCTGAGCCCCGCAGATTCTGAATCATTGATGAACATAAATATAATTAATCGTTTGAATGCAATTATCTTATTCTTGGGCCGTGTTAGGAGTTTGGTTTTTAGAAAGTCAAACGAGGCAGAGTTCATCAACATTGATCTCCAGAGCCAACCAACTCATCGTCGTTCTCGTTGATGTATTAATCTTTTTGTCAACCGTTGGGACCCATGAATTTAGACAATACAACAGCAACCGTTTATTAGTGTAAGAGCTGACCAAACTTCGGAAATTATCACCTGTTCGCCAGATCAGAACCCAATCAAACATCCTTATTGCATTGCCAAAATATTCTACATCGACAGAACCCTAGACATGGATAGAGGAACTCGGACAATCTATCTCCATAAAGTCAATAATGTGCTCGATCTGAATTCGAAAGATACCTGAAGGAGGCTGGACAGCGCAACGGTTAAATCTTTTTCATTAAGGTACCCCCCCCAAAAGCTTTTTCATTTAGGTACCTCCAAAAAATTTTCTGAAAAAAGAACACACTATGATGAACAAAAGACCCAAACTTTATAAAAACGAAGTTTTATCGTCAAAATGTTCATGTTATTATTAAGAGGAAAGACCAAAATATTTTTTGATTATTTTATTAAATTTTTAAATCATTTCTAGAACGTTCGAAATGTTGGTTAAAAATCTTTTTCTTGTGTCAGCCGATGAACTATAGATTAGTATAAGGATTTTTAGAGTTTTTACTGGCGTTAAAAACATTGTTTTAGAAATTTTTTGCAAAAATCAAATAATTATCTGATTTTAATTAAATTTTCAGAACTTATTCACAAATGAATGAATTATTTTTTTTTATTATTTCAGAAAATCCTTGTAAAAATCCTTGTAAAAATATTTTTAAAAATCTTTAAAAATCTTTAAAATCTTTAAAAATCTTTAAAAATATTTTTAAAAATTCTTGTAAAAATATTTTCTTTTACATCTGTTACCTTCATTTACTTAATTTTACGAAATTTCGAGAAATTAAAATTTCAGCTTCTTCATATTTCTGTTAGTTAAAAGCAGGACATCTTGGAGAATTTAAATCATTAATTTGTTTTTGTCAAATACAAACATAATTTACTGAAAATCTGCTCTGAATCGTAAAATAAAAAATGGAATAAAACTATAACATTATTTAAATAGAAAATCTTTTAATTACTTTTATAAATAAGATATATTAAGGACATTATTGTTTTAAGAAAAAACATTTTCGATGAATAATGTATTTTTACAAAAAGTGTCTAAACTTTTTTAAAATTTAATTAGAAAATTTATTAAATCGTTTAAGATTCTGTATTAATTTAAGACTTTTAGATGATATTATTAAGTGAAAATTATATTTACTAATCATAAATGAAAAAAACTTAATCATCAAACACTAATATTTTCAAAAGGAGTTTGAATTTTTATTTGTATGTGCATAAACGTGCAGATTTTTACAAGTACGGGCGACCATACACAACATTATTAGAAAATAGTGATAACTATAATAAATTTAAAATAACATTGCTAAAATTTAGTAAATTATTAGAGCGCGGAGAATATTTTCCTAAATTTTTTAAGAATACTGACACTTAAAAATATATATAAAAAAGGCGCTCACGTTATTTTCTTAAATAATGTTGCACATACAAATCTCTATACAAAAACTGTCAGACAAATCTTTGACAGACACATCTCTATACAAAAACAAGTCAGCACGTCAACATGGTTACTGTTGGGTTAAAATGCATTTCTTCCATATTTTAAATTTAAAGTAACTAATGTTTGTTTCAAATCAGATTAATTCTACTTTAAATCAGTTAATCTTCCTCAAATAAAGTTTCAGAAAAGTATATTTTATTTTTTGCAAGATTTTTTAATAAAGAGATTTACATTGCGATGAAAGACGATTAAAAATGGCGCTAATCAGTTATTTTAGCAAAAATAAAAACAAATTCCAGTCAATTTAAATTAGTTTTTGAAATACAGCAAAGTATTTTGCTCATTGGAAATATTAAATTTAATCTGTTAACTTGAAATTAAGACTGAAATAAAAGCTTCAAGAATAATCTTTCATTTTAAAAAAAATCATTTGAAATCTAAAGTATCGCATTTTTTTTTATGAAGGGACCTACTTTCATTTTATTGGTTTGTATATAATGTTGGAATTTATTCGGTTTCTTTTCATCTGGTGTCTTCAGGGTCAGAACAAAGTTCGTTCAGATCTTAAGGCAAAAAAAACCCTTCTAAAGCTGGTGCAAGGTGGTCTTTCCGTTCATTTACGTGCTTGTAAAATCTGCGATATCCATCTCAGATATTTTCTGTTCATATATGCCACTGCCTGTTCATATAGTGTTCTCTTAAAAAAACAGTAGCGACATAAGCGGCAATATCAATGAAAATACTTCTATTTTTTCTGTTGATAAGCCCGTTTCTAGTCTCGAAGTCTCTGCCTAATTTCCTTGACACCGTAAACCGGTGATGAATTAGAATATGTGTCTCCTGTAATTAAGACCTGGATTTTTTTTCTTTTTCCCTTACTTGTGATGTTTTGCTTACTGATAAGGCTGGAAAGTCTTTTACTGATCGCCACGGTTTGTCCAACCCATTCCCCAATTGGCACCAATTAAAAAGAGTCAAGGAGATATTTTCAGACGCCCACAGTTTTTTTTTTCTTCTTTTTTTATGGCAGTTGAGTTAGATTTAAACGTTATCAGCTCTGTCGTCACTGAATTCTGGAATTGATTCCTTTTTCTTCCTTCCTTCTATCTATCTATCTATCTATCTATCTATCTATCTATCTATCTATCTATCGCAAATCACATCTAGATATGGGACCTGCAATAATTTAGAAAATAGTTTGGAGAGTTCGATCCTCAATGAGCGTACTTCTATTGGCAGCGTTTGTGATCAATTTATATCTATCATTTTTATTAATTTTTATTTTTTTCTATATTTTCATTTTTTTTTATTTGGATGCGATTTTTTACGTTCCCTAAATTTCTACTTTTCTAGAAGTTTTCAATTTTTTTAATCTATTGACCTTTCTTTCTTTCTTTCTTTCTTTCTTTCTTTCTTTCTTTCTTTCACCTTTCATGTCTTTCTTTCACCTCTCATGTCTTTCTTTCTTTCTTTATTTCTTTATTTCTTTATTTCTTTCTTTCTTTCTTTCTTTCTTTAACACCTAATGTCTTTCTTTCTTATCTCACATTTTTCTTTCTTCTTTCTTATGTCATGGCTTTCGTTTTCTTTCTTCCTTTGTTTGTTTGTTTCTTTCTTTCTTTCTTTAACACCTTATGCCTTTTCTTATCTCATGTTTTTCTTTCTTCTTTCTTATCACATGCCTTTCATCTTTCTTTCTTTCTTTGTTTTTCTTTCTTTGTTTTTTATCTCATCTCTCTCTCTCTCTCTGATTTCATGTCAGTCTTTGTTTCTTTGTTTCTTTTCTTATCTCATGTTTTTCTTTCTTCTTTCTTATCTCATTCCTTTCTTTCTTTCTTTCTTTCTTTCTTTCTTTCTTTCTTTCTTTCTTTCTTTCTTTAACACCTCATGTCTTTCTTTCACTTGAATATAATCTCAGATATTATGTCTTTCTTCTTATGGCCGTATCATGTTGAAACACCGGTTCTCGTACGATCACCGAAGTAAACTTCGAACGTTCTCAGTACCTCGATAACCGGTTGGGAAAACCAGGTTCTGTAAGTATGTATCTGTGGATAGTCTAATGGTTAATGGCTCGAAATTAGGACTTGCAAATTCCCTTGGGAAAGGTAAGAATCTACTTTTTCTCTCCTCCCAGCTATGGGTTAAATTTTTAGGCCGTATATCAGTAAATTATTATAAATTCTTACAATCGAAAAACTAGTTTTAAATAGGCCGAAAAAGACAAATAAATCAATTTTTTTTTCATATTTTCTCTCTTTGTTATTGGTCTCATTTCTTTCTTTCCTTTTTATGAACTTTCGTCTTTCTTCATAATCTCTTGTATTATTGTCTTTATTTCTTTATGATTTTATGTCTGTTTTTCTTTAACATTTTTCTTTAAGATCGTATGTCTTATTCTTCTTTCTTATTTCATGTCTTTCTTTCTTTCTTTTTCTTTCTTTCTTTTCTTTCTTTCTTTCTTTCTTTCTTTTTTCTTTAACGTCTCATGTATTTCCACTTTCGTTTTTGATATCTCATGCCTGTCTGATTTCTTTCTTTCTTTCTTTCTTTCTTTCTTTCTATTTCCTGAGTTCTAATTACCCAGCAATCTTCCCGCAGAATTACTCCAAGAGCATTCCGCAAGTATCATATATCATCTCCGATCCAAACCCAAATCCATTCTCACGAACCAAAATACTTGTCACCCCTCCCCAGGTTCAACTCCCCGGGGGGCTCTGTCAACAAATCTTTGACTAACACTTGTTTTCCTCCTTATTCATATCTTATTGAATGGTTTCATTTTTCGTCGACGTATTTGTCTGAATTTGTTAGCTTTCTAAACTTCTTGGGCCGATCCTGTGAAAATGTTTCAACTTTTGGCTCAAGCGGCTGACCCCCAAACAAACTCGTGTGTGTGTCTGTATGTGGGGAGGGGGTGCAGGGGGTAGCGGAATTTGTGAAGGATTCGGTATAAAAAAAGAGAACAAAATTTATTTTCGATATTGCTGAGTTTAAGAGTTCAAATGAAACGCACCAAAAACGCAAAAGACGTTGCAGAACGTTAGAGTGAAAGAGAGGGACAGAGAAAGCGAGAAAAAGATAGAGAGATGATAGCAGGGAAAAAAAAGGAAAAGAAGTGAGAGAAAAAGAGAGTGAGAAAAAGAGAGTGGGAAAACGAAGAGAAATTGAAGGAGAATGAAAAAGAAATGAGAGAGAAAGAGAAGTCGATAGGGCGAACGAGTGATAGAAATAGTAATGGAGAAAGGGACAAACAGGGAATGTGAGCGTGAAAGAGTGGGTAAATAAAGTGAGAGGAAGATATAAATAAAAAGAGAGATAGAAAAAGAGAAAGACACTGTGAGAAAAAGAATTAGAAAAAAAAGAAAAAATCAGAGAAAGAGAGAGAGAGAGAAAGAATATGTAAGAGAGAAGGCGTATGCGAGTGAGAACGAGTGAGAGAGAGAGAGTGAGGACGAGAAAGACTAAGAAAGAATGAAATAGGGAGTGGGAGTGAGTGAAAGAAAGAGAGGTAGAGAAATCAAGCGAGTGCGAGAAAAGGAAATGTCAAGAGAAAAAAAGGAAGATAATATAAAAAGGGTGAGCGTGAACAATTGGCAGAGAAGAAGAGAAAAAGGGCGAGATAGAGAAAGAGACCGATGAATGGGTGGGTGGGGAATGTTCATATCTTGCCCTCTATTTTAATTTAGCTTCTTTTTTTTAATGAGTGTCCCTTAATATTGCCCGTCCTGGTTAAAAAGATAAACTACGTCCAACAGCAAGGCCTCTGATCAGAAGGTTTTGAGGAACGTGAAACCACCTCTTAATTGCTGGGGTTCCCAGGTAACCACCCTGACCCTAAGTGGTAGCACCAGTTAGGGTCTCAGCTCTGGGTAAATAGTTAACGCCAAACTGGGGTCGAAACGCTATAAAAATAGGTTTTAATAAAAGCAATACATTTTTGTAAAAAATTATTACCAGTAATAAAATTTTGAAGAAACAATTATTACCAGCAACACATTATTACCAGTAATACATTTTTGAAAAAAATATTACCAACAACACATTTCAGAAAAAATATTACCAGCAATACATTTCTGAAAAAAAATATTAACAGCAATACATTTCTGAAAGGAATACTACCAGCAATACATTTCTGAAAAAAATATTACTAAGAATACATTTCGGAAAAAAAATATTACCAACAATACATTTTTGAAAAAAATGTTACCAACAATAAATTTCTGAAAAAAATATTATCAGCTATACATTCTGAAAAAATATTACCAACAATACATTTCTGAAAAAAATATTACCAACAATACGTTTCTGAAAAAAATATTACCAGCAATACATTACTGAAAAAAATATTACCAGCAATACATTTCTGAAAAAAATATTACAAACAATACATTTCTGAAAAAAAAATATTACCAGGAATAAAATTCTTGTTGGCATTAAATAATCCATTGAGGTTGAGATGTCATAAAACAAACGAAACCAAAGCAAATCAATTTTGCCATACATTAGCTGCCTTACCAGAAATATCCGCGTACAACTCAAATTGGTGTTTCAAAATATCTAGAGTTTTGATTCAATATTTGAACCACGACCAAATTCTTGTTTGGTTTAAGAAAGAGTATTTGGTGTCCGAAAATTCACCGAGGTATTTAAAGTGACATATTTTGTCTGGTTTTTCATACTTATTTTTGTTTCAGCACTTAGATTAACATGGGGAAGGAAATTAGCCACAGGAAAAAAAAATCATAACTGGACATTCTTGGAATTTTACTTTGGATTTCACCAATCCATCATTCGCACCCAAAGAGAATATTGCCGGCATTTCCATGCTAGAAAGCCATTATCGAATTTCATGATTCGTCGCTTGATTCAACGTTTTAGACAATATGGCTCAATCATTGACTTGCCTCAGTGTGGAAGATCACGCACAATCCGTTCCCAGATGAATCGAGAATGTCTGTGAAAGGTTTTTGATTTTTTGTTTTTTAATCAGTCCCCCAAAGCAAAGTCAACAATGCCACTAAGGCGCAAGGGCTTACTGGGAGTGAAAGAAAATGACATTTTTTTTAGAAGTAACCAGAAACCGGATCCTACACAGGGAACAAGAGATAAACCCAAACTCCTGTAGAAATGACCGGAGAGAAGTAAGAACCGGGTTATAGGCGAACCTATCTACTCCAAGGAGAAATAAATAAATAGCAAATAAAATTTCAGTGTTCAGACGGAGATTTTAGAAGTCTAGAGTTGAAGTAGAACTTAGAAGGAACCGGAAACACAATCCTAAACATGAAAGAAGCGATTAACCTCTACATCTTTTTAAAAGACTGGGGATAAGTTTTCAGCAAGAGTAGAGGTGAACAAGAACAAAGAATATCGATTTTAAAATTCTCTGACCAGTTGAAGATGCCTTGAAGTATTTATGGAGGTTTCCTTTCTAATCATTTCTTTGAAGTAGTGTAGAATGTTAACATCTTGATTATGTCATTATTTTCTCTGCTATCCATTTCAGTTGTTGCTGCTGTTGAAAGTCCTTAAGTGGTCTAGTTTCTCTGTTAGTGTTATGGCTCTTTCTAGTATTGATGGGGGTTTCCTTCCTAACATTTTATTTGAAGTAGTTTGAAACGTCAACATTTTGATTATGTCATTATTTTCTCTTCAAGTTACATGTGCTGTCCATTTTAGTTGTTGCTGCTGTTGGAAGTCCTTAAGTTATGATTTCTTTGTTGTGATTCTGTAGAGTCAGTCCATGAAGAATGATGACCCTCGCTAAGATCTGCAAGCTACATTCGTTTGAAATCATTTTTAACCATTGATCTTAGACAGAAGTTGTATACCGCTGAGAGTTTAACGCCATGAATGACATTCATATGAAGGTTATTTAAGAAGATGATTCTAGGTAAATGTTTTCGTTTTGCGGCAATTTGCTGTATTGTGTGAATTCAGCTTATTCTATGTTCAATTTCCTTATCTCCAATTCCAAATGTGAAATAACTGATCCATATACCGAATTATTTAAGAAGTTGCAACCGACAGATCATCGACAACGGTTCAAATTCAGTGAATGGCTATTAAAGATAACGAAATTGTTCATAAGCTGATTATGAGTGATGAAATTTATTTCCGTTTAAACGACTTTGTCAATAACTAGAACTATCGGATCTGGAGAACAAAGAATTCCAGTATTCCAATATTCGTTCTGTATAAAATTACGATTCTTTGCTAGCCTCGCACTATTCTATCGCTATTTCGATGGCAAATGTTCAGACGAGCCACAGTCCTTAGTTCGACCAGTTCAGACCTTCACAGCTAGGGCCCTCTATCCTACGTACACGGCACCGATTCAACCTCATTTCCTTCATATTCCATTGGTAAAGAGGAAGTTCCAAACAGCTTCTTCCTCAGAGCAGTTACTTTGTGGAACAAATTACCGAAAGAAAGAATACTTCCCCGACCACTGCAATCTTATTCTCTATTCAAGCAAGGCACTAAAGCCACTGGGTGTGGAAGAATTAGAAAACAGAAATATTACTAAGGAGCAGAAGCAATCAGGTAGAAAGTAGATAGCATTTACAATTTTGAAGATTAAAGTTAACTGGAAAGCATGGAGCCAGAAAGTAAAAATAAAATAGGGCGTCTATTTCAAATATGGGTATCCACTATAATAACGTTTGAATTAATAAATATATAATTATTCATATGCCAATAGACAAATAAAGAAAGAAAATGTTTTATACTCCCCAAAAAAGCGTGAAAAACAAAACAAAAATAAAACGATATTGCTCTGCGTTTACATAAAGTAAAATGATCTCAGATTGAATTGAAAAAAAAGAAAAGAAAAGAAAAAGGCCAGCAACTTTTCTAAGGAAACTTTCCTCTTGCGACTCTTCAAGCTTCTAATGCGTATGGCACGGTTTCAGAAAAATGTAAATAAGCCCTGCTTTCTAATATCCCTATCACTTAATCATTTGGTGGAAGCCAAGCATTTGTCGATAAAAAACACTGGAAAACCACATGGAATCATCCATAATTCTCTCTCTCTCTCTATATATATATATATATATATCTGTCTATATTTCTGAGATGAGGTATTATGTACACTATTTACATTGTTCGGACTATCGTGCTCATCTTTGTTGCCATATTTATCACAACGTTTCGGCCATTGTACGCTCCGGCCTTCTTCAGGTAATTGGAATGTCGAACTTAACTCTTTATTTCGCTCGCTGGTGGGGGGGGGGAACTGTTCTAGTTCCACGTGCCATGTCTAATGAATGTCAGTTATCAGATATCTGTTAATTCCTCTCTCCAAGTTCTCCACCGCCTTAACCAGGTATTAAACTGAGACACATTGGGCCCTGTCACTGGATCCTTACTGACGCCTTTATCCACTGTACCATCTCTGTCTGTCTGTCTGTCTGTCTGTCTCTCTCTGTCTCTCTCTCTCTCTCTCTATATATATATATATATATATATATACCGGGTGTAACAGCAAAATTGTCCTCAAAAAGAGTCGACAAAACTTGTCACTGTGACTCTTAATCAGGTAGCGCGTTTGCACGCACACATATATGTGTGTATACATGTGTATGTGCGTGTGTGTATGTGTGTGTATATATATGCGTGTGGATGAGCAGGTGGTGTAATGGATAACGATTCAGAAGAAGTTGGAGAGCCAAGTTCGAATTCAAGTCGAGTCCATCACATTCACTGCAAATATCTTTAGGAAAGGTATGAAGCGATATCCTCATCCCACATCAGCTTTTGATTAAATAAATCGGAAAGTTCGAATCGTGGAAATATCCTTGGAAAAGCATGAATCTGTTTCTTCTCCCCCAGCTATGGGTGAAATAGTAGATAAAACTGAGCTTTCTAACCTTGTGATGCCAACCATTCTAGGAGAAGGACAATTGCGAATTCAAGAACCGATGTATATCATATATACGGATAGTCTGGCTGTTAGATTTCAAGAACTGAGCTGCTAGTCACTCACACGACGCGAAAGTTCTCTCTCTCTCTCTCTCTCTCTCTCTCTCTCTCACACACACACACACACACACACACACACACATGTGATTGCGCAGTTCCAGTTATTGTTAAGCAAGGTATAGTACCTGTAAGCCTCCTCCCTACATATTCCAGCGGCTTATTCTGTATTTCCCCAACAGTGAAGCAGACGGAAGTGAAACTATTACTACCGTTTTAATATTCAATAGTTTGTCGAGCCGAGAAAGGCTGATGCCAGGAGGGCTAGATACAGTATTTGACGGCATATAAGACGCACTTTTCTACTAAAAATATCTTTTAAAATTTCCATGCCATATGTAGGTTTAAAATTCGCGATAGTCGGCCGAAATTAGCGACCTGGCAACTCCTATGACCTTCGACTTTAGAGTAACTTTCATATACCTGTTGTCATTATTTAAAAGGCTATTATGCAGATTAAAAGTGTTATCATTGATAATATTCATTATATTAATTTCATCACGTTTAATTTTAGTACTTTGTTTCGCTAAAACTATATGCAATAAATTCAAATTGTATATTTGTAAAATAGATTTGTTTCATTAATATTTTTCTTGCAATAACTTCCGGTTGCATTGGTATAAATACAATCAGAATTTTTATATCCTAATTATTCCGATAAGACGTTTACAAGACGCAGGTTGTACAGAATTTTTTGACTGAACTTTAATGATAACTGTATTGTTTTGCTCAATTGTAATAATTGCTTGATTTTTATTTTGTTTTCTTACCTTTGGATATAACAAAGTTTTTATAGGCTCGTGTTCTTTTTTCATATTATTTTTCGTTTAATTGTAATCATGGCTTGTTTAACCAAAATAATCTCATAAATATAGCCATGGCTGTACCATTTACTAATAATTTTATTAATTTTACTAATTACAATTTTTTTCTTGATTTGCCCTGCTGAAATTGGGATGCGTCTTATACACCCGTGCGTCTTATATACCGTCAAATACAGTAATTGAAGGTGCAAGAATCTACACGACAGAACCCTGTTATCCAATGTTGTCACCAAACACTTCATGTCGTGTACTATATTATGTCACAGCGGATGATCCCAAGATTATAGTTTCTGATGGTGGTGGTAGTGGTGGTGAGTGTGTGTGTGTGGGGGGGTACTTTTTAGGCAAACTGGGATCCACTCTAATCAAACCAACGCCGATGGAATCTCTTCCTTTATTTCTTATGGTAGAAACACAGACAAAAGTCTTGAAAAACGAATAGGATTTCGTAATAGTGGAATAAAAGGAGTCAAAGAACTAAGTTCGAATTGGTAGAACTGCTTATATTCATTTTACACCATCAAATGGAACATCTTGTCACTGACATGTCACAATGTTCTGTAGAGAAATGTGGTGTACCAACGCTTATCCAAACCTCTGTTCCATAATCAGCTTACAACCATAGGTAGTTTTTTGTTATACTGAAGTGCTCCTAATAGACGTCTTGTGCGCCACTCAAGGTAGATGCTTATTTTAAAAATGATGAAAGATGGTGTGTGGTATGAATGAAAGCGGAGGTGGTAGGTAGTGAAGTGTATGAGGATAAGGAGGATATATAACGATTGACTCTTGACGAGGTAAAGATTATAGTGTTCAGGGAAGCATCCAGGTGGGAGTCTGTCCTACAAAGTAGCAGCTCTTTGGAAAACAGGCTGCGTGAAACTTTCTCCTCTGTCGAAATAGCATGGTGTGTCCTAGATGTAAACGTCTGCAGTGTTAAAACTAAAGCATAGAGCTCATCTGAATAATTGTCCTGAAAATAGCTACAGAATAGCGATAAGCATGTGACGTTGCGTCTATGTGAAAGAGGCTGCAGAGTGGTGAATAAACCTTCCCCCGACAAAACCGCTAAAACGAAGTAGTTAACAAAAGTCTGTTATCCTTTATAAACATCAGTAAAATTCAGAATAAAATCGCCATTGCGTTCTATGGTTTTTGATTTATTTGTCCTTTTGATAATTTTATGGTGCAAAGGGTCATTTCATTAAGCTTGGTTTTTCATATTCTCAACAACTTCCCTCTGTCAATCAACCGTTTTCTTTTCTCTAATAAGGAATTCAATAATGACTTGTTTCAGGAAACAAGGCATTATTGAATAATCAGTTAGCATTCCATGAAGTTTAGCCACACACAGAAAATTAATTACAAAAGAATTAATTTCACTTTTGTATCATTTTATTTTAATCTCTTTATCGTTTTAGACTTAATATTTTTCGGTAAAATTAGGCGTAAAATTAATTATGTTAAGATCTAATCTGGATTTTTTTAAAATTAATTTTAAAGAGTTTTTTTTTTATTTCTTTGGGAAAAATTTAATTCACTGCAATAAGTTTTGTTCTTTGTGTTTTTTTTTCTTTTTTCTGAACAAACAAAATCAAAACCAAACCAAGCAAAAAGAAATGCAAAAATAAAACAAACATATTTTTTTAAAATTACAGATAACCTCTTGGGTCGGTAAATTCGAACACTTGCACAACAAATAATTAGGCGAATAATAAATTGATTTTCAACTCATTAACGTAAATGGGGAATTATGAATGGAATTATGAATAAATTGGTGATATGAATAATAATATAAATGCAAAAATAAATCATAAAAATAACTTTGTAGAAAGATAAATATCTACTTTTTCTGAGCAAAAAACTGAGTCAAAGCAGACGCTATGTTTTCGTAGTGGTGCACAATGATTACTTTTCATGGCTTTCAAGATAAACATAATCAAAATGATATCATGAAATTTATATCCAGAGTTAGCCATTATGCAGACACAAGCACTGTACACGTCAAAGTCTGGTAAAATAAAAAGGAGAAGAAAATCCCTATGGTCGAAAAATCCACCTTATAACTAAATTAGCCAATAGAATTATTGATACACTCTCGTAAATAAAGCAATATTATATCGATTATAAACTGGTATATATTCGCCCCTCCTCGCTCTCACCATATTCTCTCTCTCTCACAATTCTCCCTCTTTTCTCTCTCTCTCTCTCTCTCTCTCTCTCTCTCTCTCTCTATCTATCTATCTAGTTTGTTCATATCAGTTCTGTTCCCAACTAGATATTTATGTTGATAACTCAACTATTTTCTCCTCTCTTAAACGTAAACCAGAATGGCCCGACAAAATAAAACTGGCAACTGCTCTCGAAAGTTACCCTTCTTTCAGTGGTCAACTGGTGCAAGGAATGGCTTGCAAATTTTAACGCTTCAAAAATGAAACTGCTATTTTTTAATCAGCATAGCTTATTTTGCCATCCATCAGCATGGCTGACGCTAGTCTTCAGGGCAGCAACTGATTCCGTCTTCTTGGACTCATATATTCCACTCATCTGAAATGGAGTGATTATATTGAATCAGTTGTGGGGTCTGCTGCTAGGAAAGTTGGTTCACTGTGTCGTACCAGAAAGTTCTTCTCGTCGGAATGCATCGTGAGCATTTACAAATCTATTCTTCCGTACATTGAATATTGCTACCATATATGGTCTGGTGTTCTTGCTATATATCTCGAGACTCTCGACAAAATCCCAAAAAGGATCTGTAATGTTATCGGCCCTGACCTGGCATCGCGACTTCAATGACTTTTCCACCGCTGCTGTGACGTGGCTTTTCTCCATCTGACATGAGTGGCGTAAGTTCTTATTTACGGAAAATCGCTGGTCCGACTTGAGTGAAAAGTCGCGTCACGACGCATAATAGGTACAGATTTCAATCTCTGTAAATATATATATATATATATATATATATATATATATATATATATATATATATATATATATTGATATGTTCCGGAAAGGGATATATTTGAACGAAATAGATAAGTGGTTTTGGCTACTATAACCAAGTAGAATACGGTTGCAGTAATCGACTGGTACGCGTTGTAGTCGCAGGTAAGAAGTGTAGATCAATGGCGTAGTCCAATGGGCGTCGTTATAGACTTAGCTCTCAGACTAAGGCTCTTGACTCTCCTACACGTCCGTCGGTATTTATGACGGACACTAGCCAATCATATTCCATTATATATATCTATATATATATATACACAGGATGATTGAAAAGTAACTCGCTATTTTATGTATGAGCAGCCAGCCAGGAGTCTTGACTTAATATCCTGTGACATTTTTCTTTGGCGTTGGTTAAACGAGCAATCTACTAAACTAAACCAAAACTTTTGGAAGAACTTGAACGGCGAATACAAGGTTATGTCTTACATATCCGGGTGAAATCATTTGACGGAATTCGTAGGCGGTTTGAGAAACTGGTGGCGAAATCTGGTTCCCACATCGAATCTTAAATAAAACCTCACGCTAAACGCTTTCCTCTCATATCCATTTCTTATAAAAATTAGAGTTAATAAATAAATTATAAGTATTTTCAAATGGAGTTTTACTTTCCAATCACTCGGTATATGTATGATGACAGGATTGTTTACGTCTGTACGGACACATATGTAACTGTATCATCTGCATTGTCCATGGCTTTTTCAAAACGAAGGTCAAGAGGGAGTCTGTAGACGTCACTTGCGGGCACGTTTGTGACTGGTAAGTCCAATACAGGACAAGCATACACGGTCGAAGTAGTTGCAGCTGAAAGTTCAGTCTGCGCTCGATGGCATGGCATTGACGTACTTCCTAGTAACGGTATACTAATGACAGGCTTTCCTTTCCCTAATTCATAACGATAAATAGTTATCAATGACGTAATCGCTATTTCAAAATTGACGTTTGCAATGTTCTAATAACTCTTTAAGCGTCATTTAATCTGACATTCTATACCATTTCCGTATAGGAATACAGGTTCCATTCTTGTCGGAAAAGCAGATAATTTCTACCAAAATCTCGAACATTCAGGCTGGTAAATGGAATTAATACTGTTTAAATAAAAAAAAAGCAGATCATTTACTAAAATAAATTGTATCTATAAAAATAACGTATAAACAGAAAATATATTAATACCTTATTCCATTTCATTAAATATATATATATATATATATATATATATATATATATAAACAAATATATGGATATAGATCCGACAGTATGAAGAAAAATATACGGAAAAGACAAACAAAAATCCTAATATGCAATTATGCTGTTTTAATGTTAATATAATGTCAACGTCGGACGTTTCGGTCTTGTAGACCATCTTCAGGACATATCCATAAAACATAATTAACATTAGACCATATTTAATTCAACATGAAAAGACGATGGATATAAGAGTAAGATTAATCAAAACAGACAACTGAAATTTTTCAAGATTAGCGTTCCGTTTCAATATGATCACGTCGGCGTCACGTGGGTGTTGTTATGAAAACGTATTCCTATAATTTGAGTATTTTCAATGAAAAATGAAAAGAATTTTATTTTAATCTAAAATTTATATGTTCGTTTGTCGAGCATTAATCTTGCTAGAAAAGGGGAAATATTAAAGAAGCCGGGTCTAGTATTCACCGTGCGTGAGATAGATATAATGCCTGCCTCATAAATCCGCCTTGTGTTGTGTGTACAACTAAAGCATTGTTTAAAATACCGAGGTGAATATCTCGTTTATGTTCGAAAACACGAAATTTCACGGACCTACATGTTTCACCCACATATTTTAAGTCACAGTTGTTGCATGATATTTGATAGATGCAAGCATCGGATGTAATATGTTGGTTGCTGGTGTTATTTAATAAACTACGGATAGTTCTAGTAGGTAATATTGTAGTTTTAATTTTTAGCGCATTTAAATTATTGGAGATACGTTCGGTCAAATGGTTATTTGGTAGAAAGATGCGACCAAAAGAATTATTATCAGGGGCAGCTGAAAGTGTGCCTTTCACTGATGTATTTGTAGTAGTAGCCTTCGAGGTGTCATTTTGCACTGATGAATGAATTTTCAACGCTTTATTCTTAGCTCTCAGTAATAATTGTCTCGGGATACGAAAGATTTGAAAAGGTATCCTCAATATAACTGAATTCATCATCTAAATATTTTGCTGAACAGATGCGAAGAGCCCTTAAGTAGAATCCAATAATAATACCCCTCTTAGTGTTAGTAACAAGGATGAGAGTAAAAGTGTTAATAGACGTTTTTACATGTGGGTTTACGATATACTTTGAATTCTAATTTATTATTATTTTTAATAAGTAGTATGTCTAAAAAAGGTAAAGTATTATTAGACTCAAGTTCATAGGTAAATTCTATAGTAGGTTCTATTTTATTTAATCTATCAGTAATCTCCTTTAAATCATGTTTATGTGGGTAGATAAATAAAATGTCATCGATGTATCTGAAGTAATGTGTATTACCTGCAATGACATATTTAAAAGGTCCAGATTCAAGAAATTCTAGAAATATGCATGCTAGGAATCCAGAGAGAGGACTTCCCATTGGCAAACCAAATTTTTGTTTATAATAAATATTATTATACTGGAAGAAACAATGTGAAGTGCACAGGATGTATAATTTGATGCATTTCGAGATAGTGATAGGTAGCTTACAGTCAATTTTCTTAAGGTGGTTCTCTAACCGTTTAATACATTTATCAACAGGTATATTAGTAAATAAAGATTTAATGTCTAAGCTAGCTAGGGATTTGTTTCTTACATCAATATTACTTAACTTATTTTGAAGAGAGCCCGAATTCTTTACACGTGCGTTACTTATGGTGCCCAGAATTGGAGTGAGAAATTTAGTTAAAAACATAGCGATATTATGAGGAGCTGAGCCTATATCCGAGATGATGGGCCTTAATGGAAATTAGGCTTATGGGTTTTGGGGAGACCATAAATTTTAGGGAGGGTGGGGTGGTAGTTAATAAGGGAAAGCCAAATCTTATCTTCATTACATATCAGTTTCTTATAGGACCTATAAAATTCTTTTAGATTCTTAGAAACTTGTATAGTGGAGATCTGTTCATAAGTGTCTCTATCATTTAGCAAGTCCAACATTTTCTGGTTGTAAGCAACGGTGTCCATGACAACAACACCGCCTCCTTAATCCGAAGGAGATATAATAATATCATAATTTCGATTTTGATTCTGTGAAGATTTTAAAATATATTCATAATAAAAATCTTAGGCGGATTTATGAGGCAGGCATAATATCTATCTCACGCACGGTGAACACTAGACCTGGCTTCTTTAATATTTCCCCTTTTCTAGCAAGATTAATGCTCGACAAACGTACATATAAATTTTAGATTAAAATAAAATTCTTTTCATTTTTCATTGAAAATACTATATATTTTAGGAATCCGTTTTCACAACATTGCCCACGTGACGCCGACGTGATCATATTGAAACGGAACGCTGGTCTTGAAATATTTCAGTTGTCTGTTTTGATTAGTCTTACTCTTATATCCATCGTCTTTTCATGTTGAATTAAATATAGTCTAATGTTAATTATGTTTTATGAATATGTCCTGAAGATGTTCTACTAGACCGAAACGTCCGACGTTGACATTATATTAACATTAAAACAGCATAATTGCATATTAGGATTTTTGTTTGTCTTTTCCGTATATTTTTCTTCATATATATATATATATATATATATATAATGAAATGGATTAAGTTATTAAAATATATATTTATTTATATTTATAATATATATTTATATACACCAGCTGGATGTTTTCCATAAAAGCTGTCTGCGTGCAATCTGTGGAGTTAACCTTCAAGATAGGACATCTGACGTAGACCTGTTTAACAGGTGTAATGTTGGAGGAATCGAGACTTTTATCATACAGTCTCAGTTAGGCTGGACTGCTCATATCTTGAGAATGTCTGATGTCAGGATACCCGAGATCCTAATGTACAGCCAATTAGATCAGGGCTACAGGAATGTAGAACGCCCATGGCTAAGATACAAAAACAAGCTGAAAAGCAACTTGTCAGCTGTCAATATACCACATAACACCCTTGAGCGCTTAGCCTTGTAGCGGGTATATTGGAGATCAGCGTGTTTCAGCAATTTTCAATCTGCTCGTCTGAATCATCTTCAAGAAGCGAGAGCAAGATCTAAAAGGTCAGCCAATCTAACAGTGATCTCATCCCA